AAAAAATGTTCAAGGTCATTAGCAATCAGAGAAATGCAAATCAAAACCACAATGAGGTCCACCTCACCCCGGTTAGAATGGCTCACATTCAGAAATCTACCAACAACAGATGCTGGCGAGGATGTGGGGAAAAAGGGACACTAACCCACTGTTGGTGGGAATGCAAACTGGTCAAGCCACTATGGAAGTCAGTCTGGAGATTCCTCAGAAACCTGAAGATAACCCTACCGTTCGACCCAGCCATCCCACTCCTTGGAATTTACCCAAAGGAATTTAAATTGGCAAACAAAAAAGCGGTCTGCAGCCTAATGTTTATTGCAGCTCAATTCACAATAGCTAAGACCTGGAACCAACCTAAATGCCCATCAACGGTAGACTGGATAAAGAAATTATGGGATATGTACTCTTTAGAATACTATACCGCTGTAAGAAACAACGAAATCCAGTCATTTGCAACAAAATGGAGGAATCTGGAACACATCATGCTGAGTGAAATAAGCCAGTCCCAAAGGGACAAATACCATATGTTCTCCCTGATCGGTGACAACTGACTGAACACCAAAAAGGAAACCTGTTGAAGTGGAATGGACACTATGGGAAACGGTGACTTGACTGTTAATGAACAACTTAATACATTATCCCTCTTAGTAGTTTTTTTGTCTGTTCTACTTAATATGACTGGTTTAATTCTGTAATTAATACACAGTTATTCTTAAGTGTTGAAATTTAACTGAAATGTGATCCCTGTTAAACATAAGAGTAGGAATAAGAGAGGGAAGAGATATATAATTTGGGACATGCTCAAGCTGACTTGCCCCAAATGGTAGAGTTAGAAACATACCAGGGGACTCCAATTTAATCCCATCAAGGTGGCATGTACCAATGCCATCTCACTAGTCCAAGTGATCAATTTCAGTTCACAATTGATCATAATGAAAGGACTAAGAGTCAAAGGGAGCACATAAGCAAGTCTAGTACCTGCTAACACTAACCGATAGAATAAATAAAGGGGAGAGTGATCCAACATGGGAAGTGAGATACTCAGCAGACTCATAGAATGGCAGATGCCCTAAATAGCACTCTGGCCTCAGAATCAGCCCTAAAGGCATTCAGATCTGGCTGAAAAGCCCATGAGAGTATTTCAGGCATGGAAAGCCAAGACACTCTGGCAAAAGATCTCTGTGAGTGAGATCTCAGTGGAAAGAACAGGTCTTCAAAGAAGGAGGTACCTTTCTCTGAAGGGAGGAGAGAACCTCCACTTTGACTATGACCTTGTCTAAACAAGATAAGAGTCGGAGAACTCAAGGGGCTTCCATAGCCTTGGAAACTCATGACTGGAGCATAGGGAGATTACTGATGCCATAGACAGGAGTGTCAATTGGTAAAGTCAACAACAGGAGTCACTGTGCACTTACTCCTCATGTAGGATCTCTGTCCTTAATGTGCTGTGCATTGAGATTTAATGCTATAACGAGTACTCAAATAATATATTTCACTCTGTGTTTCTATGGGGGTGCAAACTGTTGAAATCTTTACTTAATGCATACTAAACTGATCCTCTGTAAAAAAAAAAAAAAAAAAAAGAAAAGAAAAGAAAAGAAACTATCAACTCCCAACTTGACTCTCACTGGGATTAAACATGACAATAGGTCTGATCTGATTTCATCATCATTAAAAAAAATCATCTATTATTTTTCACTTTATGTTTCTGTGTGGGAGAAAACTGTTGAAATCCTTACTTAATGTATACTAACCTGATCTTCTGTATATTAAGATAATCGAAAATGAATCTTGATGTGAATGGAAGGGGAGAGGGAGTGGGAAAGGGGAGGGTTGTGGGTGGGAGGGACGGTATGGGGGGGAAGCCATAGTAATCCATTATTCGTACTTTGGAAACGTATATTCATTAAATAAAAGTTAAAAAAAAAAAAGAATGTCAGCACAAAAGAATACACTAATAAAACATTAATAATATTTGACTTAAAATATACCCTAATTGTAAGCAGGGAGTTATTAATGTATTATGGATCCATACTAATTACCATGATAGTATGCCTGGAATTTAAAATAGAAGGCTAATTCAGAATATTAACCCTACTTTAAAGAATTAATCTTAATTTGATATTTAATAAGCACCTTACCATGTAGTAAAGTTCTTTATCATTGTTACTGCCGTATATGACTTGAGGATAGCTACACAGCTATTGCTGACAGCTAATTTGCAGCATATTCTTAATTTTCAACTGGAAACAAATTATGCACTCAAAGCAGAATACTGAGATTACCTTAACAATAACAACACAATTTCACCACTGACAGTGAACAGTCAGGATACCGACAGGCATGATTATTCTTCCATCAAATGTATTTTAGCTCTATAAATTCCTGTTTACAGACTTCCGTCAAATAAGCTTGAAGTGCCTAGTAATATTTCAGTGTGTGTTCCCTCCAATAAGCTTCTTTTTATTTTTTACCTTAAAAAGTTAAAATAGGAAATTTTATTGAAAGTGAATTTTATAGTATACAGAATAGTAATTTCTTATGCGGAGGTAAAGGAGAAAGATGAACATTACTACATATTGTGTAGTAAGGGAGGGGGCTGTGAGCACTGGCCCAGGGACAGGTGCCAGCTGTGGAGCTGCACAGAGCTCAAGCTCTTGGGACCCGGGAACAGGTGTTTCCTGCCCAGAAGGTTGCAGTAGCTCAGAGACTGCGGTGGGGTCTGGATCTGAATCTGCGGCATTAGCTGGCTCTGCAGCGGGAGCCGTTGCCACGGCGGGGTCTGGTGTGAGCTCCCTGGAGGTTTCCAGAGCTGGTATGCCAGCCTGTTCTGGCTGTGGAGCTCCATCTGGCAACAGAGATGGAGGTGGCACAAGCTCTTGTTGTTGAATTGGAGCTTCCGCTGGCCCCTCTAGTTCTGCCTCAGTGGGATCCCGGTGCTGCAATCGTCCCAGGAGAAGTAGCACATGGTGCCACGGTGCCCCAGCTCTGAGTCACGCAGGAGGAGCTGTGCGTAGTCCAGTAGCACGTGCAGACTGGTGTACTGCGGGGGATGATCGAAATCTTCCGGATATTGCTCCAGCCAGGTGGCCAGGATGGACGAGATAGCACATTTGACTGCGTCCTGGAGTACAACTTCATCAGTAGGAGGGAACCATGGGAACCTTCTAAACAGTGCGTTCAGCACCTGCCCGGTGGTGGCAAAAGCTCTGTAGGTTCTCAGGAAGGCAGGAACATACAAGGGCTCAAAGCCCAGGAAGGCAGGCACCAGGCTGTCCACCAGCTTCTGCAGCGTGTTCTCCTGGGCCCTCCACCCAACGTGGGCATCATACTCGATCAGTTTAGATGGCTTTTTCACCCTGGGCCAGCAGCGGCCTCTGTTGGCCTCCTGTCTCTCCATGCGGGAGATGGAGTACAGGACCTTGTTCAGCAACTTCTGACCTCTGTGGTGCTTGGAGCTCTGGAAAGACAGTGCCCGGCAGGTGCAGAGCAAGCATCAGGGCCCTGCCTGGTCCCTCTCCCTCTGTTTCCGCCCCTCGGGACCTCCTCTTGACCACATGGACCCGTGCATCACAGAAAACCCCCTAGAGGACGGGGCATGCTGGCATGTGGGATGAGAAATAACATCTGGGCAGCTGTGAGTGCCTGGATGATTTCTTCCCGCCCTGCCAGCCATGGCCTGAGGTGTGAAGGTGACAAGACCACTATGATAAGGCCTCCCACCCTGACCACTTTATGATAGGCCCTCCCCTCACATACTATTTCCCCCTCCCCAATAAAGGTGTTTGGGGCAGCCCAGGTGCTGTCCTGGCCTGAACAGCTCTGTCCTGGGTGGTCCTGAGTTACCTGTGGTTGCCGTGTGCAACAAGGCTGGGGGTGGTGGGGGTGAGGTGAAAACCAACGTCGAAATTGCTGCCACAACCCCTCATCGCACGGGTTTCTCGGGCCACGGCCTCGAGAAGTGGGAACACAGCAAGAGAACATCTCGTTCTGTCAAGCGTCTCTCGCCAAATGAGCTGGGCAGGGACCTCTCTCTAGAATGTCAGTGCCTGGTTACCGGGGTTACAGGATCTGTTGTGACCTGTCACTAAGTGGTGCGGTTACAGTTGGGGCTTCCTTATCTCTCCCCTCATTTCCCATCTGAAGTCCCCAAATCACCCTGGGAGCGAATGCATTCCCACCCTGCTGTCCCATGCTGCCTCTGTTTCTCTACACAGTGACACCAGTGCCCCTCCGAGCAGGGCCTCCAAAAAGCTTCCAAATTTCCAAATGATTCGTTGTCTCCAAAGTTGCTATAAAGAAATGTCCATCTTCACAAATGCTTCTCACTTTATGAATTCTAAGTCCAAATGTCTTAATAAGGTATAATAATTATTAACTACTCCTTGTGCTTCAGTTAAAATCCCTCATGAATCTTCAGGGTTTCTGTCTCATCTTTGCCCAAATGCTCATCCCTGTGCTTTGCTATTTCAGGCAACGCCAGGCCTATGCTCCCACCTCTAGATCCTTCTCACTCCCACCACCCCTAAGCTGATGCTTGATTGAAATAAGCCTGCTCAAATAGTTTCCCAGAAGGCTTATAGAAAAAAAAAAACACAATTCTTTCCCTAGCATACTCCCTACCTTTGTCAACAAAAGCACTGATCTCCAGCTTCATGTCTTCCAGGTATACCTGGGTTCCCTCCGAAGTCTTACTTTTCCTCATGCCTGTAAGGTTTGGATTTATTCTAAGCTATGGAATCATCAAAAGACCATTGGGAAATCATTTAGTTCAATTTTCTGATTTTATAAATCAGAATAAGATACTTAAGTAACTTGCACAGGGCCACACAGCTGGAGATAGACAAGCCAGAACCAGAACTCTCCTCACAGAATATCATTTTGATTATTTTATATTGTGCAAATAATTTAGAAACATTGCTAATCATGATGAATCAGAAATAACGGAATGCTTTCTTTGCCCAGTGAAAAACTGCTGATTCCTCACTCTCTCCATTCCCAACTGAGGGGTTGCATGGAAAATAGATACACGTAAACCCTAAGAGGAATATTTTGACAAAGGAGTGGAATTATATCAGTGAAATTTTATAGAAAATAAACCAAACATGAGGTATCATTGTTATATGAAATTATTTTAAAGCAAGATTTTGTTTTATTTTGCAGTATATGATTCAAATCCCATTTCTGTTCTATCCTCATAAGTAATGCCATGAAGAAAAAAACACATGCAAATGTTAACTGCAGTTGTTAAGTGGTTCTCTAAGGTCCTTGTTGGCTTAAAGATGCCAACAAGCAAACAAATCAGTGAAAGCTTTTCTGTTAATCTGGGAAGGGAGGTGGCAGAGGGGGGGAATTGTCAGCATCCTACAGCTTCAGTGTCACAACAAGTTAAAAGTGTACACCAGCAACAAAATCAGCCAAGTCAGTTCCTCTCTAAAGCAAAGGGAAACATCACAGGGGAGAGAAAGAAATGAAAAAGCAAGAGTTATCTGTTGCCCTTGGAAGCACTTGTGTACAGATAGCGGATGTGAAAAAACAGCAAAACAGCCAGGGAGAAAGAACCAGATCAAGATAGCAGGGGAGGTTTAAAATGGTGTTCTGGAGGATAGGAAAAGAGAAAATTGCCAAAGCAATTTTCCCATTAAGCATATAAATCATTGTAAAATGTGTTACAGGGCAGTTTGGGATTGATGATCTGACACTCCAGCAATCTTCTTTATGAGATATTCAGTTTTAAATTAATAATATTCATCTATATGGTATATTACTTGCCTGCTTTCTGCTATTTAATTTTTTCCCATTCGTTTCCTTCTTCTTGATATTTTTAATAATCGTCATGTCAAGATAAAATACCAGAGCAAAATCTTTTCTTCCAAGGCCATGGTAAACTGAGATTTTTCACTGTTGTTCTTGTGCACATTCATATGAGCAATTTTTCCAGATGTTATAGAAAGGGGTCCCCTTTCCCCCTTTCTACAGCATATTTTTTATACCAATGGTAGATAAGTAGATATAGACACATCTTGGGTAGATAAGTAGATTTAGACACATCTTGGGTTCTAATAGGGTAGCAGGTGTTTATGCCTTTCATCATTCAAGATGCAACTACAAGCTATTGGGGCCATAGGGATACAAGGCAGTCCAATTTTGCCTTAAAAATATTGAGATGAAAAACTGATGTCTGATTTGTGGGAATTACATTTTCATAAATAGACTTGCTACTGGAGAAAATAAAGTAAAGGAGACTAGAACTGCTTCCCTCCCTACCTACAAAAGTTAAATGGGGACTACAAGTAGCATGGATTATGTACATAAACTATTGCATGACAAGAAGAAGGCAATTGTGACAACTTAGAGTGAGAGCTAACTGCAGTGATTTAGAGCCCTACGAAAGGGTGCTATCAAAGACAGTCCTGGGAAACAAGAACAGAAAACCACACAGCAGGAAAAAGCAAAGACCCAGAAAGAGATGGGAGCGAAAGGGTGGAATTTCAGGACATGAGACTGCCATCCTCACTGAAGGCAGTGAAGAGAAGCATGAGAGGTAGTGAATGAACCCACGGATGTGGAAGACAAGCTTTAGAGCCTTTCTCGGAAGTCACGCAGAAAGAAAGTCCACTTGTAAACAATAAAACGGGATATGATAAAAGCATTAAGGATGGAGAGCAAAGTATCACACATTGGGTAATAGTATTACTAAGGAATCAAGAACAAATGCAATATTCATTGATTAACAAATATTTCTTGACCAAGGGCTGGCACCATAGCTCACTTGGTTAATCCTCCACCTGCAGCGCCAGCATCCCATATGGGCACCGGGTTCTAGTCCCGGTTGCTCCTTTTCCAGTCCAGCTCTCTGCTGTGGCCTGGGAGGGCAGTGGAGAATGGCCCAAGTGCTTGGGCCCCTGCATCTGCATGAGAAACCAGGAGGAAGCACCTGGCTCCTGGCTTTGGATCAGTGCAGCACTGGCTGTAGCAGCCATTTGGGGAGTGAACCAACGGAAGGAAGACCTTTCTCTCTGTTTCTTTCTTTCACTGTCTAACTCTGTCTGTCAAAAAAAAAAAATTCTTGACCAGAAGTCACTTGATATATGGCCCAACAAATTCTACACAATTATAAGCCGACCCCACTTCCTAACAGCCTTGCCAACCCAGCAGCCTTTGACAATGCAGTGACATGGGTGGTTGTAAGGCAGAATGTTCAGAATTTTCCTATAGCCAATTGTTTTAATGTGTTAGAAAAACAGAAAATATGTCTAGATAAACAAAGGCTGTCCAATGTGTCATTCTTTTACACTTCTAGAAGAAAGTTACCTGAAATCTCATTCAGATGATAGCAAAAATAATTTTTAAATTTAGGGAATAAGGAAATAGTAGTTGGAAGTTGAAGTCTTAACATTTAATGTGTCATTGGAGGAGGCCTAGTCACATGAGCATGTTCATTGGTTGAGGTAAGGCAACAGATAGCGGTGATATTTCTAGCAAACTAGAGAGTTCATTCTCACACCTGAATGTATGCAAATGCAAACACTAAAAGTCTATCTTACCTGCTGCCTCCACCTAGCTAGAGAGGCATCAGTTTCCAACTTCTAACATCAAAACATACTTGCATTTTCTCTTTCTCCACATTAGGACTGAGCTGCCCACGGGGATTATTGAGTGGACTTCATGCTCACTAGCAATGCTCAGCCTGGCTATGCTCCGCCAGTCTGTTCTGCTCCCCAGTGTGAGGCAGGCATCAAGCCACATTCTCTACCTCAAGTCCCTATGGAACTTACTACCACCTTCCATGGTAGGGCGACGTAGTCACAGGTTTCCATATGTTTCAGCTAATAAAGCCTAACTTTAGGAGTGATTAGGACATTGCCCAGAGACTTAACTTATCCAGCAAAATGTATGTTACCACTTTCAAACAGTACAAAGAAACATCATGATCAATTTCATTGCAAGAACAAGTTTTAAAACAGTCAAAATTAATAATTCTGGTTCCTTAAACCTTATATGAATTGGCTGTCTTTTATAATAATTGGGAAAATTTAGTAACTCTCAAGTTGAAGATGTCATGTAATTTTTTATATCAAAGACCTGTTATTATACTTGCACCAGCCATGCTTTAAAATTCACATTTACACTTGAATATGTAAAAATTAATAAGATAGACCTTCATAATATGAGGAATATCTGCTTTATCAAGTTATTATCTCATGTATTAATATTGTCTACATAAGTTTTCCCATAATAAGTATGCCATTATAATATGTGTGAAGAGTGTTAATATTCTTAAGTGGTGATCTAAACTTTTCATAAGGAATATGAGTTATCTTGAAATGCTTATCTTACAGGGCTCACACCCCACCTAGGTTTCTTATCCCTGAGTTTAAATTTCTGAACCAAGTGAGCTTCTTTTCTCTGTTCAGGGCATGAAAGGCAAACATTCCTGATTGCACTTGGGTTTGACAGGGATGGGAATTTTCCTGGGGCCAGGAAAAATCCTGATTATTTCTAAAAGTGGGACAATTATTTGTAGCTCTTTCTCCTATTCTCCCCTTCTCTACATGTCACCACCTCCAGCAGGGTCTAAGATAGTATTTCACCAAAGAAAGAATCTTTCTTTATGAGTCCCAGTTCAATTAATTTGCTTCTAGAGGGAAAAGTATGGTTTTTTTTTTCACTTGATTCCCTGCCCGGGAACTATATCCTACACTGTGACTCCAGATATTAACATCTGTAGAAATACTACCATTCACACAAGATAATTTAGCTCCTAACTTAAAGAACTGTTGAAGAAGAGGAGATGCTTCCAAATTCATTTCACAAGGCCCGGATACCAAAGTCAGATCAGGACACTATGAGAAAACTAAAATTAGATGTCAATATCCCTGAAGAACATAGGTGCTAAAATCCTCAATGAAATATTTATAAACTGATTCAAAAGAACATTAAAAGCATAGTTTACCACGATCAAGTGAGATTTTTCCCAGGGAAGTAA